CTCCCCTGAGCCACAGGTTCTCTTCACCTTCAGTCTGGCTCCCAGTGTGCCTTGAAGCACAGGCACTAGGGAAAGTCCCGAGGCAGAGGGAAAGGGCCTCCAGATGCGTCCTTAAATACTTGCCTAGCAGAGCAGGAGACCACACTACCCAAAGAAGCTGTATTAAAACACCAGGGAGGACTCAGTAATTTGCACACCACAGAAAAATTCAGTTTGATTGTTTAAATAATTAAAGGATGAGGGGAAGCTAAGAGATTAACCTCCCACATCTCTCTCTGTAAACAGACATCTACTAGGAGAGTTTTTAAGGATTATCACCTGGTTGTGTCTTGCTACTGAACTGCACAGGAAAAGCTGCCAGAACCAGAGCTCAGGAGGCTTGTGCATAATGGAGTATGTCTAGCTCTTTCCTTGGGTTTGTGGCCCAGGGAGCTTTCCTGTGACTCTGTATCGGCTCTGTGACAACAGGACTCTCTGTGCTGTAATATTCGCTCCTGCCCAGAGATTGTCCTATCTTTTGGATTCTGGCACACTCAGCACAGATGTTAGGTATGGTAGGAGTCCACAGTGGCTCCTTTGTTGACCGCTGTCACAAGTTCAGAGCAAGGCAACAAGGGAGGAGAATCTGTTGAAGGATCTAATTGCAGAATTCAGTCTCACAAGAAACACAATATTCTCCCACACAGGCCTTCCTTGGGAATGCCATAGACAGGGGCATGATGCCGGGAAGGACAACACTAAGAAGCTTGACCTGAGCAGGTTCAAGGTGCACTCATCACGAACGCACTTGGGGGATTTGAGCACTTACTGTGCGCCAGGCAGTTCACTCAGAGTGGAGAAAGCATACTTGGAGTCTAGTCTAGTAAGGGATAAAATCAGTTCCCAGGCAGTTACAATACTTCAGACAAATACTCTGTGCCCTAGTTTTGGCATCCCTTGGCAGACTGCAGGAATAGGTGTGTGGCAAGAGGTGTGTTTCCTCTCTGCATTCTTAATTTACTTATACATTAACTTTCTACATGGCAAAGACCTTGGACTGGCATCCAGCGTTGTGTTATATGTTGAGGGGCAGACAGAATATATAGCTCCTGTTCTCTGCACACTTTTGTGTCTATCTAACATGAAAAGCACAGAATCGTTAGTTGGGATGAGCTCATGGATTTGAAGAAAGGGGAGGCCAGTGTACTCTTGAGTAGATCAAGATGCATATGTGGAGCACCAGCCTTATCATTAATGTTGCTTTTCCAGGGACACCCAAAGATGATGATCACCCCAAAGAAGCCTTCAGCTAGTAAGACCCCAATGTGATTCCAGACTGTTTTTGTTTGTTTGTTTTTTGAGACAGGGTCAGTACAGGCTGACCTCAAACTCACAATGATCTTCCTGCCTCAGCCTCCCAAGTACTGGGGATGATAGGCAAGTGCCACCATGCAGGGCTCCCAGACCTTTTGAGTCAGACTACATGGGCTCAAACCTTGCTTGACCACTAGCATCAAATCGTCTTTCTCAACTGGTGTCTCTTGATTCCTATCTTCCTTCTTCATGAAGAGACCACTTATCATATTAGGTTGGATGAATGTAAGTGGAAGGGAAGAAGAAGAATGCCCGGATGTGGTTAGAGGCACACATGGGAAAAGGGGGGGGGGCATTTAAGGGTGGGAAATGATGAAGAGATATTTCTAATGTGGGGAGGGTCCATCTTGAGCTGAAAGGAGAAAAAGAAAAACATAAAGGTTCCAAGAAGTGTAAAACTGATAATGTTTGGGATCTTGTATAATTATTGTCCCAATGGAGACAATTTGGGTACAAACATGAAAACCCATTGTGGAGGGGGAAGTACCTTGTCTGGCTGACCTGAATGGTCTTTAACAGGATACCATTGTTAAATCAAATACCAAGGCCTCTGACCTCAGTATAACAGGAGCCGTGTAGCTACCCCTGGGGTGGAGATAGCAAATGACAAATTCCACTGGTGCTCAGGTTGATATAGCCAACCTTCATCTACTACCATGCTTCAAACAAATCTCAATCCAAGAGCCCCACTCTGAGGGAAGCCTTGTAGCTTCAAGGGCACCCCATACTTATTGCTGACCAACTGAATTATGAAAAAACCAAGGTAAGGAGAACCAGTATCACAAGTCCACCAGGTTTGATAAGAGAGTATGTACAAAGATAGGCTGGATGAAGGGCTAGTTCCCCATTACCACTGCCAGAATAAAGACCAGGTGATGCAAGAGCTTGTGAAAGAGGCCTCCTGTCTTAGTTCTTTGCAGAATCAGATCTCATACTAGCTGGCTGGACCAATGGTCAAGAGTCACCAGACTCAAAGAACAAGCAACCAGCTATGTGGGCAGAGCAGTCACAGCACCACACTTACCAGCCAGGTGGCCCTGAGGAGAGTTTCTTAAGGTCACTGAGCACCAGTTCTCCTTGACCACACACAGAAGGGATGATGTGTGCAGCATCTGGTATACTACTGGCTACGTAAAGTCCTCAGTAAAGAGGAACTCTCGCTTCCTTCTTCTGTTAGCACTGGATGTTCTGTTACAGAAGAGATGGCTATGGCCTTCAGTCAACTTACATGCAAAATTCTTAATGATTCCTAGTTTCTATTTAAACAGAGCACAGAAGCTGGGAATCTAGCTCAGCACACAGATGCCTGCCTGGCAAGTGTGAGGTTGTGAGTTTGATTCCCAGAACAAAAATAAATAAACAGAGCACAGCTGGTTGGAGGAGACATGGTGTTATCGTGACCCAGGCCCTTTTCTCTTCCCAGCATCCTCCTTTAAACCACAGTCCACCACTCTGAGAACAAAATGACTGGAGGACACAGAGAAATATATAACTAGCTTGATCCCAGAGCCTGTAACTGTGGTACACAGGTTCTCAGATCTTTCAGACACCAAAAACTTTTATATTGATTAAGTCATTAGGGTTTGAGAACCTAGGAAATGTCAGGCCCTGTGCAAGGGGACACAGCTCATTTTTGACTCCAGCATTCGCGTACAGAAGAATGTGGTAATAACCGTAATGGAAAGCTCACAATTGCTGGAACCAGGCTACCTTTGTAGGGTCCTGCCAGACTCAAGAGTCACCCCTGGGTTACCAAGGAGGGTCAGTGTATCTGTTGACCAAGTGTGAGAGACAGACAGAGCAGGGACTGTACTCTTGGTTTCTTAAAAAAAAAAAAAAAAAAAAGCCAAATCCTGATTTGGAACACACCTGTCTAATGGTGGGAGGATTTTTAAAAAAGCTATAATTCACTTCACAAAAATTAACCTTTTTAAAGCAAGCAGTTCTAAGAATTTAGCACATTCATAGTCTTGTCGACCACCACTTCTACCTAGTTCTGAAACATTTTTATTCCTCCTAAAGGAAACTGTGTACCAATAAACAGTTAGTTCCCATGTCTCTGATCAGTGCCTGGCAACTATCAATCTATTTTCTGTCTCTATGGAGTTTAGACAGACTCACCAGAAACAGAGGCACAGATTACCCTCAGAACTTAAAGAACTGAGTTTAACTTCCAGATCCAATCTAACTCTAGAATGTTTAGCATCTTTATTGCTAAGATTCACTTTTCTCATGTAACAAATAAAATACCTACTTAATAGGACTGTTTGGAAGATCAAAAAGTAAAATCCTCATAAAACACTAACCCTAACCCTTACAGAAAATGTTAAATGAGTAGCAGTTGTAACATTTGTGGTTCTAAAAATTTTTCAATCTGAAACAAATTTTGTAAATATGTTAATTCAGTGCTTTAGTGTCCAGGTCATCCCCATATAAAACTCTTTTTACAGATTACATTTTTTTTTTTTTTATCGGTACCGGGTATAGAACTCACGACCACCTGCTTGCAAGGCAGGTGCTTATGCCGCTGAGCTAAATCCCCAGCCCCTGCAGATTACATTTTGTGACAAATCTGAAGGAAGGGTAACCCCACATGTGAATGGATGCAGGACAGTTCTTCCTCCATGTGGAAAGTAGTTTCAGTCTCAACTTGAAAACATGCTTGCTTTGTGACCCTGGAAATATTGCTTTACCTCTCTGAGTCTATTCCCTTTCTCTACCATACAGTGATACAATTGCCCACCTCAAAAGACTGTCTTGATTAAATAAGAGTACCTACTACGTGTTGAACCTCACTGGCTTAATCATCCCTCTCGCCATTCATAGTTCATGACCTTCACAAGATGTAAGTATGAAATGGTACACTGATATTGTTGTAGATGGCTTTGTCCTAAAGAGTTATAATATAGCTTGGGAGAGAAGACTCCTTTAGGTCAGAAGCTAGCCTGGAATATTCCCTTTGCTCTGGCTGGAATTTTTATATATTTTGCTGCCGGGGATCAAATTCATGACCTCATGCTTGGGAGGCGGGCGCTTGTGCCACTGAGCTAAACCCCCAGCCCTTTTTAAAAAACTTAAATCATCTATAGGTAGGAACTTTAGGGACATTCTCACTTTTCAAACCCACATCACCAAAAAACAGTTGATACCCACAGAAAGTACCAAGCTCAAACCTTTCCCAATGGTCACTCCTCAAAGGTCTAGCAGGCTCATCTCAGCTGTGATCTGTGATCCCTAAAAACAAATCCAGTTTTGTTCAGGAACCTTCCATCTGTCTCTTCCACCTCTTTGCTCTCAACCTTCAGCTCTTAGCATAAAAGGGAGTCAAAGTGGAGTGAAATTTGAAGGTGAACTCCCAGTCCAGCACAGAAGAGATGCCCAGGTGCTCAGCCCACCCTCACAGATCTCTGTGCTGTGGCTAACCTCCCTAAGAGAAGCAGAAGAACCGGTTCTTGCCCTGATACCTTATTTCTCTTGCCCATCCTGACTCAAGTGTTCGAAGGTGGCCTGTGGAGCCCAGGGTAGACAGAGTATGATATACCTATGAGACAGAGCAAGTTCCAGTCCCCCCAGTTGCTTTGCTGAACTTGGGGGGCAGGATGCCTCTTTCATACCCTCACAAGACCCCTTGCTGAATGTCCCCTTACCCTGAGAGGGAGCCGAGTGCCTTGGTGTTTCCAGCGAAGAGAGTTTCCGGCTCCACGTTTCTTCCTGACACAGGAGTCCCGTCCCTCACTTCTTACCTGTGGCTTCCCCAGAGATTGGGGGCCCTCAGAGTGTCCATGCAGGCAGACAGGCAGTCTCAGAGTGCCTCCACCGACACCCTGCTTTAAGCTGTCCCCAGTCAGGCCATGGCCGGGCTTTCTAACGTGCTCGGAGACTTCACTTCCTGGTTTTTCTTTCACAACTGAAAGTGGAAGTACTGTGACCACGAGGAAAGAAGCTGCCCAAGCCTCCTGGCTCCCTTTCAACGCCTCTAACCCCAGCCCCTCAGGGCTGAGAGCAAAAGCCAGCTCGCTTCAGTACAATCCACCCTGACTCCTTGGTCTGCCTGGCTATAAACTAAAATGACAAAACCCAAACCCAAACAGCATGAGGTCCCTCTGGGACCACTGGAGTCACAGGAGTGGAGGTGACGCCTTCCTTGCTAGATTCATAGGATAGGAAGGTCCTTAGAAGTTTCAGCTAGAGGGGTTTCCGCCCTCAGATTCATCTGGAGCTCCTGTCATCCATTCTCTTCTCCAGGGAAGCCCTCCCTCTCTTCTCCAGAACTGCCTGCCTCAGTCCCAAAGCCAACAAAATAAACAACCAAGTCCAGCCTGACAGCAGCAATGCCTCACTGAATTAACATGGTTCATTTTCTGCTGACATACCAGCTCCCATTCTCTCTCTCTCTCTCTCTCTCTCTCTCTCTCTCTCTCTCTCTCTCTCTCATATTAACAGGATCTGTAGTAGTTTTATTTAGTTCACCTAAGATTCTGCCCCTTCCCACCTCCCATCTCTACGTGCAGGCTCACAGACACTGGGGAGTTAAGCAGTGCTTTTCCCAGCCTTGATCCAAGAAGGCCCGTAGGAGTTCACTAGAGCTAGTCTAGGGTTTGTTCTTTCTGAAGAACAAACCTCCAGCTGAAATTCAGTGCTGCAGTCTTGGGGTATGTATGTACAGGCTGACCCTGGGCCTCCTGGGAGCCCCTCTGGATGTGGGAGAAAGAGGAAGGAGTGCCCGCTGACATTCCACCTGCTAGGACATCTCATGGCTGGAGGAATCCTTGGCTTTGTTCAGTTTCAGGAGTTCACCTTATGTGAACTTGCCTTCTCCCTGAAAAAGTAGTTGATGGACGGCAAAATAGATTTCAAGCCTGAGTTGTTCTAACACGGCAGGCTTTCTCTGGAGACTAGTTGCCTTTGCAAACCAGAATTAAAGACTTAAAACAGGCAGCAGAGGAGTCTTAATTTTATTTTAAATCAATCTCTTCCAGAATTGAATGCTTTGGTTCACAGAGATCTGGGCCATTCTAAAATCTCACCAAAGGTACCTTCCTGTCCAATCCTACATGCACAGAAGTGATACTCCCAGTTTCTAAGAATAAGAGATAGTTTTGACAATATGCAAGAATTCTGTGTTACAGACCAGGCTATGGAGACAGGCTGATCAGGGCTCAAATTAACCATGCCATCTCCCAGCTGTGTAGCCCAGGCCATGCTGTTTGACAGCGGAGAGACAAGCTATGTACCTATAAAATGAGAATAATTCCATCTCTCTCACAGGAGGCAGCGAACCAATGAGGTAACACGTGTCATGTGCCTAGTATCATCCCCAGCCTTTAATAGAATGTCTGCTAAGGATACCTTTCTTTCTCTTCCTTCCTAATGGGGATCTTTGCTATCAACAGTTGGTGACTGTTCTAACCTGACTGAGACAGAAATTTCAGAATGAACCTTTAAAGATTGTGAGTCTGTTTTAGTGCACTTGGTAAAATTAACAATCTCTTCCAATTCCTTTTCCTATTAGCACCCAGACAGCTTTCTTCTCTTTTTCTAGTTGATTTTTCTTTGCTTCTACACATGTTAGCAGAGTTTTGACAACATACAAGTTAGCTGCTACTTGGTCAAATGTAATCTTACATTATAAAAAAGCCTCCAACTCAGCATAGATGCTTATCCCACCTTCTCCAGTAACATCCCTGTCCACATTATCTCACAGATGTATAAAATATGGATCAGTCTGAATTATTGTAGCTTACCTTGAAGGACTTCTTATCCGGGTCGGACCAGGGTTCTGAGTGCAAGAAAGCTGTCTGCAGACAGCTGGCTGTATTGGCTCTGCGAGGCTTTCAGTCACTCCTGCCTTTTCCACAGTTCTTGTGACTGGGCCACACCTCAAACCACTGCGTCGACCTGAGGGTGCTCAGCAAGCTCCTCTAGAAACTTTGAACCTGTTGCAATTGAAGTCCAAAGGTAAGAATTACCTGTTCAAACACTCATAGTAACCTCTGACAGAAGTGCAGAATTTGGCAAAAGGTTAAAATAAGAGATCATTGTGCAATAGATTTAAGAAGGAGGAAAAAAAAAAAAACCAAAAAAAAAACTAGCCCTTAGCTCTGAAAGCTAGCTTTTTTTTTGGTACTGGAAATCAAACTCACAACCTTGCTCTTGCCATGCAAGCACTTGTGTCACTGTGCAAATCCTCAGCCCCTGAAAACTAGCATTTAACAGGACAAATCTTTCACAAAGTCTATATTTTAGGAGACAGAGAGGGCTTGAGTGGGTTTTGTATCTACATTTTCGGTGCAAGATTGAGATAGGTCTAGAAAGGAGGAAGAAAAAGTACTTCTCAAGTTTAGGCAGAGGGAGAGAGACAAATAGACTGAGGCAGACAGACAGAGAGACAGAAAGCCTCTCTAATTGGTTCCAGCTATAACTTCAAGATTTGGACTCAGCAGAGGTCTACATGAGGGGAGTGACTTTCTAGGAGGGACCATGTTCCTTCCAGAATGAGACTGTCTCCAAGACAACCCAGTAACACATATGAGACTGAAGTCTAGAGTGTAGAGCACAAAGCCTATGTGTGTTTTGCTGACGGCGCAGAATAGGGGGCCCAGCATGTATCACTGTGGCCGGAGAAGGCCCTTGAAGATGCAGGGTGGCTGTCACTTCACAGCTCAGCCTGTTCTCATCCCTCTTTTCATGAGGAAATCACCAGTTTTGATTCCCATATCACGGAGACAGCAAGACTTCAAATACCGAATGTGCTGGAAGGCAAGACAGGTAAAACCTGAAGACACAGGCACAGCCAAGACTTTCTGAATAGAGCCTCAGTGGCACGAGAGACAATATTAAGAATCAACAAATAGGATTACACCAAAGTAAAATCTTCTGCACAGCAAATGAGTAGACAATCTCTGGAAGGGGAAAATGTTGGCAGTTCATTCTTGGGCAAAAGGCTGATATCTAGAACGCATCAAGAACTAAAACAAATTAGAGTGCCTAAAGAAAAGATTCAATAAAAATTGGACAATTGAAATAAATTGGCACTTCCCCCAAAAGAAATACAGATGGCTAAGAAATACATGAAAAAACATTCAAAATCATTGACAATTAGAGAATTGCAAATTAAAACCACACTGAGATCCCACCTGTAGAAAAAAAATGGTTATCATCAAGAAATCAAATAATAACAAATTCTGGAAAGGCTACAGGGAAAAAATACTTCTATATTGTTGGTGGGAAGGGAAAATGGTACGACTATTAAGGAAATCAGTATAGAGATTCCTCAAAACAATAAAAATAGAAATTCCATTTGTCCCAGCTATTCCTCTTCTAGGTATCTTCCCAAAAGATTTAAAGATATCATATTGTGGTAACACACGCACATCATGTTTATAGGAGCACAATTTATGATAGCTAAACCTCAGAAGCAGCCTCTATATTCATCATTCTCACTATGTATATCTACCATTGCCAGATGAATGGATAAAGTATGGTACTTATTACAATAGAATAGTACTCTGCCGTAAGGAAGGATAAAATTGATTTTTTTTGTAGGAAAATGGATGCACTTGAGACCATAATATTAAGTGAAATAAGTCATACATGTGAGCTTAAATAGTGCATGGTTTCTCTTATGTGAGAAACTTCAAATATAAATAAAGAGAAAATAAAATATGTAATAAGAAACAGGGAGATAGAAGTTTTGCAAAAGTGAAGGAGCCCAAGAAATGGAGGGAGGAGAGGGGAAGGGAATGAAAAATAAGATGTGTTATAACATATAACACCTTCCCATTAGAAATGTAATCATTGTGTATTGTGAGCATGTGCAAATAAAAAGAAATTGAAAAAAAAAACCCAAGAGAAATGCAAATTAAAGTAGCACTGTCTTTCTCTAGAAAGAAATTTATCATGAAAAACAATGAACGTTGGTAAGATTTTGGGGAAAACAGGAACACTTCTGCATTGTTACTGGAAAGGTAAAGTAGTCCAACCACTATGGAAATCAGTATGGAGATTCCTCAAAACATTAAAATTAAAAATTCCATTTTACCCAGCTGTGTCTCTTCTGAGTGTCTTCCTGAGACAGTTAAAACATTATATAACAGAGATGCATGTATACTCGTGCGTATAGCAGCACAACTCACAATAGCTAAATCTTGGAAGCAGCCTACAGGCCCATCAACAGATGCATGGGTTAGGAAAATGTGAATATATGGACATAATAGAGTTCTTCTCAGCCAAAAAGTTCTAAGGATAAATTTGAATCATTTGTAGGAAAATGAATGTACATGGAGACCATAAAGGTAAGTGAAATATATTCAGACATAGAAGCTTAATATCACGTATTTTCTTTTATATGAGGAACCCAAAAGATAAATAATTTAAAGAATAAAATAAAAAATGACATGAAACAGAGAGATAGATGGATATGCAGAGGGAGTGTGAGGGGAGGGAAAGATAAGTAAAAAATGATGAAATATCTATCTAAGATGAATGTAATTATTAAGTATGGCAAATATATACTGGTTAAAAAATTTAAAAGAAGCTAAAAACATGATTATTTTTGGAAAAAGACAGCAGGACATGGCTAAATTATGGGCAAAGAAAAAGATACCCTGCAAATTGTGTGAAATCTGTATTTTACAAGTAAACCTTTTCCGATAAAAGAAGACGCATTAGTCATGTAACCGGGTGGAAGGCAGTCAGGCCAGTTCCACAGGGCCCCACAGACAACTGCCATTCCTTTGTCCCGCTGTAGGGCTGCCCTGCTGGTAAGTATATATTTAACCTCCAGCAACCTTCAATGCTTGAGCACTTTCTATGCAACTGCATTAGAGTTCTTTTTACTATATTTGGTCAGGTGGTCAATGTCAAAGTCAGAAGCCAATACCACTTCCTGCTGACTCCCATGTGGAGCAGTGAGCATGTTACCATAGAAATCTTAGGTCAGCTTCTCACCAAGTTGTAGCTTCACTGACTCTTCAACACTTACTACAGAATCCTAGCCCTTAATATTGGGGAAAAGGAGCTTCTAAATGTAACTCAA